CAAAGAGCCTGTAAAGCATGCTCAGCGGGAATAGTGGACGGTACTCCGAAGATCCTCCCTCTCGCCCTTTTTATGAGAAAGGATTGTTCGAAAGGTTCTCCACTGGCTGCGTTGTCCTCCAGCTCGTAAGAGGTCGGACAAAACGTGGCCGTTCCCGCAACCGCAACTGCCTTCATGGTCGGGATTGCGACGCGTACTTCAGCACTTAAAATCCTGATGGTATTTTTCCAGCGGAGTAACGAGATTTGACAAGGGTTTTGACGAGCGAAAGACATGGTGTAGAATCTCTTCGTAATCGATTCCATATTCTGCAGGGAAGATGCGCGAGTTTCTTCTTCGTTTAGTAATGTTCAGCGGAACACGGTAGTCAAGAAGGTCCCTGCGCTACTTTTTTAGACTTCTCCTTCCTTGTGCTGCTTCCAAAAGTGATTGCCTATACTTTGCCCTTTCTCAAGCAGATTCTTGGTTTCGAGATTCGTTCCAAGTTCCTTGTTTGAGTCATTTAGAGTCTCACCACAGGCTCTCAGTCTTCTAAGAAACAAGTATCGTCGGGTCCTCCTCGGTGGACCAGTCACAAGTGGTGGAGCTCTTCCAATCTGACGCCGTCATATACAACTTCTCTACTTCCTCCAACACGGCAGATCTTCTTTTCCAGCTTTCGGCTGTATCGCATTTTTGCTCGAAGGAGACGGTGATCTGAGCCATTGCTGAAGGATAGTACTACTGAGATGTCCAGTAAGCACCACCTTCGGTTGGTGAGAATGTGGTTGACCTCCGCATGAGTCGTACCGTTAGGCGATTCCCTTGTCCACCGCTATTGCTTTTCTAAGGAAGATGTGCATGAAAAAGGCATGCGGCGGATAAGAGCCCAACAAGACGGTTTTCATTCCAAAATCCTGATCCAAATCTCCTGATCCTATCCTCCCCTTTTTCTGGCATTCCGCTTTTCGCAATGAAGTCACACGAGATGAAATTGCAGAAGGAATTTTCTTTGTGGATGTTCTCCAAACCTCATAAAAAGCATCTAGTTCCGTCATCAGCTGCTGAAGTTGGAGAATAGCTATTGATGATGAAGATGGTTTTCTGATGCAGAGTATGGAGTTGAAAGGCCAGACGAGGTGATAGGACCTTGTACGAATTGTACATATGGACAGCAAATGGGTTTACGACAAATCCAACGCCTTCAACGTGATGGACCCTTCTCACCATTGGGGCTGTTTCACGACCGTCCAGATTTTTTTCCTGCAGGGCGATTACGTGGTAGTTGATGCGCCACGCAGCTTTGAAAAGGGCGTGAAGATCGGCGTTAGTGAAGACTGTTCTGGCGTTGTAGGTGCAGATCAGAGACAATCTCCATGGCGAGTCGTTGACGTATCCTTTTGGTCCAAAATTCATGGCTTCCTTTGCAATCTGGCGCTGGTCTTGATGACATCTGACGCCGTAGATGTAATCCAGTGTGCAGAGTTTTTTCCCTTTTATGTTGTATAATAGATTTTTCCCCGGACTTAGCAGCCTTGCCAGGACGTGTAAGCTTTCACCGCAGGCAATCGCTGACTATATGGATCAGGGAACCAACCAGAGAATGAATCAGCCCGATGGTGGTGCTTCTGGCATGACCTACTCTCAACAGAGCTAAAGCATCGAATTCCTTCTCAGCTTGGAAGACCCTAGGTTAAACCTCCGCTGCACTACGAAGTTCGATATCCAGAGTCACTTTCGCGCCACGATGAGGTAGTAGAGCATCACGGGGGATTTGTTATTCTTTCATAAAAATAGAAAGCCTGCAATTTTATAGCCAATTGAGTAAGGGCTCACAGTCTTTCCTCCCGTTTTTTGGGGTCAAAACAAGCAGAGCACTGCTACAAATAACGTCAATCCGAAAGGGGCGCGAAACTCTGTTTTTTCTAAAACATAAACACATTTTTTTCAAATGGACAGGCACAGGAAAACAATCAAAGTTTTTGATATTTCGCATAATTTGGTACGTGTTAACATGAAAAACCCTTTATAGCGTTATTTTTTTTGCATCTTTTATTCAGTTGATAATTTTTTGAAGTTCCCTAGCCCATACAGGCCAATTTTAATACATATCGCATCAATTTTTCGACTGGATAAAAATGTGTCACACCAAGACTTGTAATACTCCTTTAGGTCACACTATCCTGGTTAGGTTAGGCTAGCCCTAGTGAATATCAGAAAATGTAGATGGTTTTTAGCCTCTTATTTTGCAGTATACGTGACAGAGAACCTGAGACTATCAACAAAATTGCTTTCAGTTCTGCAATAACGAATATCTGAAGGCAATTGAAAAGACACTAACCCAATTTGTTGCAAACAGGCCGTACCTGAAAGCTCTTTCCGGCGCAGGACCAACGCCCGGAGCACTAGGCGACTGCCGGCGCGAAAGGACCAACCGTTGCTGCATGCGCTGCACCCACGCGTGGCGTGATCTAATTTGGTGTACAAAGCTGATAGGATGTGCACTATGATGGAGCTTGTGCGTCAGGCTGCTTTGCGCCGACTTTTCCAGCGCTCGAGAAAACTTTCAGAACTCGGCCTGTTTGCGTGGAATTAGGATCATTCATCTTTCAAGCGGAGCCAGTATGTATTTGAGAAATCAATTGAGCTCCAAGCAGTTGAGTTTGATCCAGAATGAGGAGGGGCAGAATTACTGGCTCCAGAAAGTTAGACATTTCAACTTTTTCC